TTCAGGTGTTAAATAAAAATTTACAGTTTCTTACAAAAAATGTTTGAATGGTCATTGAGTAAGTATGCTATGAGAAATCTCTGGTTTCAATCTATATTTGAGTTTATACTGCAGATAATGATTTAATTAAACGCCCCTCGGATTAAATATAACATTAACCCACAACGTTAGAACGCACGAATTAACACCATTTTGAACACGGGTTTTATTCGCGAATTTAACGCGGCTTTTGAGACTAAACAGTGCCGCACTTAAACTCAATATCAACATTGTCAAGAGCTTTGCGAGGACTCGACCATCGGTGTGGTCGTTAAGTCTCGAAAAGTACTCAATAATCGATAAACAATCGATAAGTGTGTCGCGAAATGCGGTTGTACATCGGCTTTATTGCAAATAAATGCCGATTAAACGATTATTTAAAGTTCTTAACAGTACAGTAGGTAGTTTGAAAGTATTTTACGTATATACAATATCCTTAAACACGAATTTCCCTTGGTAGCCAATAAAAACTACTCAAAAGTAGGCCTATAGTAAAAAAATATTTATGTCACGAAAATAAAATAAAAATCATTCTGTAGCTGACATTGATAAACCAAAGTGCATCGTACGGTAGCCTAAAGGACTGTTAAGACAATGATAAACTTATTAGGTAAATAAAATAAACTGGAAACTATTTGGGATACTATATAATCAGTTTTATGAAATAACATGGTACTGGGTTAACAAGCTCAATCGTAATTGTTCGTAAGTAATTTTCTTCGCTGACTATTATCATAGACTAACCAACACAAGTATGTTTTATCTATGCTATTATTAGCTAGTTAGCTAGTATATTGGTTTATTTAGTATATCCATAGCTAGTATATTAGCTAGTACAATTACAGTATTAGCTATTTGATCAGGAATACAATTGTTTTGGACATAAATACAGCTATTTTTCTAAATAAACATTTCCTAATGGGCCTGTAGAAATATATTCAAAATTGAAAAAAAACATTTGTGTTTTTTAAAATTGGTTGATTAACCAAGTCTAGCTTGTTTCAGACATAGCTCTTCTTTGAAGTATGGGTTTTTCTTGTTTTTTTCTACACCATAGGCATTTCACGAGAGAACAAATGTTTAGTACCTATGTGCTGAACCTTTTCTGTACGTAGCTCCTTTCTGATCAAAGACGTTTACCATGAACAATAATCCAAAACTCATTCAATGTTTTAGCTTGATTAGTAAAACCCCGGTGAAGTAGAAATTCAATAAGCAGAAATGTAAAGTACTGTCCGTACTGTATTATTGATATAGAAATTATACTAAAATTTGAGTATGGATCTAGTAGTTTAATAGTTTTAGAGACGCGTGTAAAGACTGAATCTTCACCTACTGCAATCGTTTCCAAGAACCAATCACATTCGGCCGTGAGTCGAGAAGGTCGGATTGCGTACGAGAAATGGTTGGCTGAAACTGGGTTGGAAATAGCTTGTGGATAATACGACTCAAACATTGTAAATCCTATTTAACTTTTAGTTTAGCAATGAAATTCACTGCTAAATATTGTTACGTCAGATTGAACGTTGTTTCGTCTCCTTTGTTTATTCAGGTTAACTTCCAACACATCAAGTTCGTTCTCTCTTCTAAATTTTCTATTTTATTTTCAAGAATTTATGATTTTTGTGTTTTATCGAATTTCCAATATAGGGAATAAGCTATTACCATTGGTATCATGATAAGACCTGGACCCGGGGCCGATTTAATTTTTCGTTTTGAGGTCCCCAGAGGCTAAAAACACCATACGTTAAAATTCATATACAAATATATATATATTAAAAATTAAAAACATAGTTAACAAAGTGAACGTATCCATATCACAAAGTAGTCTAAGGCTTTTTTAGGGAAATTCCTTCCTGAGCTGCTCGTGGAGAGCATAGAACCACAGACAATATAATAGAACTATGTTTATAGTTCTATGGTGGAGAACCGTATCCACTGAGTTTTTATTATAAATTGATTTTAACAGGCTAAAAACTAATGTATTATCGTACGGTGACCTACTTTGTGAACATTTGTAACAATGAAGATTGACAGTCAAACTAATAATGTGAGAAAACCCTTAATTTCTTTATGCAATTGTGTATGCCAGCTATAAAGAGAATTTAAAAAATTCAAGGTGCTTCCCTCAATATTTTTTCGTGCTACGCCCCTGGCTGAGGCTACTTTATCAGTAGGTCAGTTTATTGGTTGGGTAGGCAGGCTTATAAGGTTAGGTTAGATTATGTTAGGTTAGGTTATGTTAGGCTAGGTTAGGTTAGGCTAGGTTAGGTTAGGCTAGGTTAGGTTAGGCTAGGTTAGGTTAGGTTATGTTAGATTAGGTTAGGTTAGGATCGTGCTGAGGCTACTTTTTCAGCAGTTTATTGGTTAGGTAGGCCTATGTAGATTTATAAGGTTAGGTTACAAAATTTAACTTATGCAGAGCTAGGCTGGGCTAGGCGAGGCGAGGCTATGTTAGGTTAAACTAGACAAGTTGAGGTTAGGTTATACCACTTTTACAACGCTCTACAAACACTATGCAACTGTGTAGTGGAACGTAAACGCGCGAACACGTGCGGTGTAGCCCAAGTTATAATTGTTGTCCCGTTGTAGGTCGATATTTGGCAGACGCTGCCCAGTCTAAACATTTTGGCATTTTGCAACAAACTGCGCGTGTTTACGTTTGTTTGGAGATGCACACGCGCCCGCCTCTCCCGCCACCGTGCGTCAGGACCCGCCAAAACTGACTGAGCAAGTGTTGCCAACTTAGGAAAATTTTTGGAAAGAGTCAAGTAGACATTACTTAACTTATAGAGTAACCGTGCTTCAAAAGAGACGATGCAGTTTTACCAACTGTCTGTTGGATACATTATTAAATAACTTCTTGATCAGCATTGTACGTGTTATTAAATTTACGGAAAGTAAATAAAGATACGTCTTATAACACTTAAAACATATATTTACGCTTATACTGTTACTCACAAGACGGTAAATATACAAAAGATGGTAAGTGGTGATCGATTTCAATTGGACACTCCAATCATCCTCAGACCCAATAGGCGAATGTAGGTGACATTATTAAATCGAATCCTACAAAGTAAGTTATTCGACGACCATACTGAACTAGCTTGTGAGTTATAGTTTGTGAATAGTATATAGAATTTTCTTTTACTTGGTCTGTAGCATACAAAAGTATAAGCCTTAGATTTTTTACATATATTAAATACCCAAAAATCCAAATTAAAAACTCTTCTTCATATTATTGCGTAAATCATATCACTTATTGTATAATAAGTATTATAAGAAGAGTTCAAGTAGATAAGGAAATGATAAATTAGGCTATGTTATGTCTAGAGCTAGACTAAATCAAGTTAAGCTGGGTTAGGTTAGGTTTAGTTTGGTCAGATTAAATTATACACGTTTTTATAAACACTGACCAACTCTACAATCGAAAGACGATCATTTGTGTACTGAAGATGACTCTATTTATTAACTTATTAATAACTAATTTCGCAAGTCTATCTGAATTAGGACCTAATTACTGTATGGATTCGCATCAGTTCTCTCAAATAAAAATATATACATATATTTAACAGTGAACTCTTGAAGAACATGTAGTCAACCAACAATTCTTTTCCCCTATAGTATGTTTTTTAAGTAAATTAACCAATTTAAGAAGTTATGAGTAACAAAAACTAAACATTTTACAAACATTGTTTCAAACTCAAGTAAACAAAATTATGAACAATTAGAACATGAATCATATAAACCGTAACTATATACAACTGAACAAATAACCTAAAATTTTAAAACAACCCTTTAAACAGGTAAAAATCAACCTTAAACCCTGAAATACTTTAAATTCTTGCATGGTTATTTTTTCACACTTAAATGAATTCAAGCACTTGGTCTATCCTCAATTTTTAAATGACTCCTCCTCACCATAAAGCACCATAAACTGACCATAAACTAGTGTTGCGTTTTGGCAACGCATTGTAATCCTGGGGGGTTGAGGGGGGGCAAGGGGGGGTATGACGTAGATGCAGCTCCACCGTGCCAACATCCCAAAGTTTAACGCAGTGAACCGTAGGGGGCATCGTGGGCCACACCCTTACAACTTTATGCTACTATCAATTTTAACTGTCGATCTACTTCAAAAAGTACGTTAAGCTCTGCAGGAGTTCTACTCTTTGCGGCATAGTGGAAATAGGTTAACTCGTAGCTATTAATTTTGTGGACCAGGCCGTATTCTATAGTTTATTCGACGAAGACCGGCGGGGAATGAATACACACCTTATTTATTGACCACAGATTTAAGAATATAGGTCCCATTCCACCGCCTTCTTTATTTGAACAAACCATAGTGTTGTAAGGTTCAAAATATTTTTAGACATTTTGTTGGATATTTTGACGGTTGGAGGAATTGGAGCTTGCAGTGTTGAATTGTAACAAGTATATGCACAAATTCCAAAAGATTAAAAACTTAGAAAAATATTTACTATCATATAACAAACAACACAAGTGTGTTTGGTTTTGTCTATGTTATTATATATTTCCCACTATTGTTTCTAACCATAAATATGGGTTTAAATTGTAAATAACAAGAGGTGTGTATTTTTCTTTAACACTAACATTAAATTGAGTATATTTACAAATAAACTAGAAGATTAATATCACGATTATTATGGTATTACGTCCATCCTTCATATTAATTGTATATATTTTAACCCTAATTTTCATTTAGACGATTTGGCCTTCCCAATCATTCAAGGGTTTGCTGTAGTTACGGTTTTCAAGGTGAAGAACTAACAAGACTACAAGATCGCGCCACTCATCCTTCACTCACATTTGGGTTAAAATACACACATAGTGGCGTCCCCATCTTAAATAAATGATAATTGATAATTGAACTAATCTTAATAGAATTCTTAGGAAAACCATATCATAATTGCAGTTTAGTATAACATCTCGTGTTTTCCCAGGTGTCGGAGTAACGGGCAAGACAGAATCCTGCATCAACGAAGGAGAAGTTGTAAACACTGACAACATCAGCAAATCACGATGTTTTACATGCACTTGCAAGGTAAATATTTATATAGAAAATGTTAGTGAATTCCCCATAGAGTTAATTATTACTGTAGTCATGGTCTAAGACCTATACTGGAAACAGATTTAGGTCCTCAGAGGGGAAAACCACCATCTATTCATGATAACTTGAGAAAAAAACATTAGATTTCGATGCAATTTTGTACAATTTTGAAAATCTACGTTTACGTAAGGAATCAGCATAACCGAATAATGGAAACAGGGTGTTATTGAATAGATTGTTTCTCATTTTTGACCCTCTAAACATAGAATTTACCTCTTGAGAATTTCAATAGTAAAATGTGTATGTATATCTGCATTCATGCGATCCATAATATTGCAAATGCACAAAGATTCAACAAACTTAAGTCATCCTCATGCCATTACCACATTATTATTATAACATTATTATTATAATAATAACATAATAATAATAATACATAATAATACATAATTATAATAATACATTATTATTATAATGTATTGTCACTTCATTTGAAGGTCGTCAAAATTAACGGTAATTTATGACACATGCGTGCTCTTAAAAGAAGAACATTCAAAAGACAAAAACACTTGTAATACTTGTACGTAAGACATGACATGATCGGGCAGAAGTTATACACTTGTAGACTCTGAAAATAACATGATCATACACATGTCATTTTCATAATAAATAATCAAATGCAGGCAATGCAAATACGACCAAATGTGGCAAGCAAATCTTGAAAGGCAAATAGGGACAAAGAGGATCGGACCAGGTGGAAGGAAGAACGGTCTGAACGACATTGACCTGGAGGTTAAGGTCAAGGGCATTGACAAGGTCACAGCTGGTATATGTCCCAAGGTCACCGAAGACCCCGGTTAAGGACGTTAAAGAAATACTTGTAGAAATTTGATACCTGGAGATTCAGGTGTATTGGAATCGGCTACTTTTTTCATTAACATAACTCATTCGCATCCAACAGTGGTATATTTTGCCTAGATAGCTGAGTAGATTAAGTGCATCAGTCAGTGACCAGTTCGATTCTGAGAAAAGAAAAGGATTTTTTGTTAGACCCTGCTGACCTTAATCGTTGGGAGAATAATGTTGCGCTAACAAAGGTGTCATCTTATTCATTCAATCCTCATCTTAGTTAAATACGAATCCCGGTGTTGACGTTGTTTGAATAGAAAAGTTATTATTTACTCTTTTGTTGTTCAAACCTTAGGAATACACAGTTATTTATTGGTTATAGAATGATTATATTAAATGATTAGAGTGTTGAACCCCATTTTGTGGGCACCCCTTGGAATAATGCTGTTTGAACTAACACTGACCTAACCTAACCTAACCTTTCATAAACAAAACAAGCCAAAGCTTATGCTAAGTACTGCCCAAGTAGACAGAACCTAAATGCATAAAATGTGCTAGTTGAAATATAAGTGGTAAGAAAATTAAGTCTCGAATATCTAGTAAGCTATTTGATACGGCTTTGTCAAAATTTACCTAGTAGTAAATAGATAGACAGTTTATGTTTCCATTAATCAAAATAATGCGATGGCTTAAAGCTATCAGTTGTTAAAATATTGTGAAGCTGTTACTTTTTCAACGTGAAGTCACTCAAGACGGCACCAGGGATCTCAAAGAAGTTCATTACACAACGCTGTTCCATGATAGTTTGAAAGTACTGATTAAACGCTTATGAACTTTAAACGAATTTCCAAATTACTTACCTTAGATTTACACACTCAGGTGTAAGAAATTTCAAATAATGAAATAATCTGGATGTTTAAAATTTCTGCGCTATTCTGGCGCAAGTTTCTTCATTCATGACGTTTCTCACTGAATTTTTAACCCTGAGCTGGAATTTTAAAGATCATTTATATACCCACAGAAGTTAGAACATCGGCTTGAAAATTAGAAGATCCTTTTACTTTAGACATAAAAAATAGTTTTACAAATTTTCATAGACCACTTTAAACTCCTCTGAAAATACTTCCGCGTAGTGACATAAAGATTCTCATTGACTTCCGCTATCGAAATGTTTCTGTTGTGGACATTTGCCTTGTTGGCTGTAGTGACTTTTCAAAATTTTGCGAATTTTCAAAGTTCCATTGGTAGCCATGTTGTAGACTCATTGATGTCGATGCACTATGAGACTTTGGTATTCAGTTGTCCAAGTAGAGCGCAGCGAGTCGAGGCGCCGCTGGCCTGGTTTTGGTTCTGAAGCGGTCAGGGACACCATAGATCACAGAGAAATATCGCAAGGACGTACCATAGTTTGCAAAATACATAAGTTTTAGCGGCGTAAAGTGTACTCTATGTTCGATTGTTTTGCTCAAGGAGGAAAATGTCAATGTTAATCTAGTTGCAAGTTGCGCTCCATCAAGTAATTGGTTGTATCATTGACTTTCGGTATAGATTAAACTTACTCGTGAATTTTATCATCTTTATGAATCAACTAAAGACAATGATAGGTGAAAGATCGTAGTTTTCAAATATATGCATGTACTGGAGTGATTTTGAAAATAAAGTGGTTTAAAGGCACATGTGTTTCGCAATTCTGTTATAAACATCCGATTAGCAATACTTAGCTACAGTTTTATTGTTTTTAAAAGGCAAATCCTTTTTACTAAAGTTATTTTTAAACGTTTTAGTTTGAATTTTGTAAAAGAGGCAGCTTTGAAATGGTAACAGCTAGAAACATAAAATTTATTACGTTGGTTTTTAACACACATAAGTGTCCAGTTTGTATCTCAGAGTCGTGCGTTATTAAGAAGTTGGCAAAAATCACAAACCCACAAACAAACGGATAGTTACACTCTTTTGGTCTACGTTTGTATTGTAAAATATTTTAGGGGAAAACGAGGAACAAATCCACAAAATTATAGAGATAAAAAACACCCTGTGAAATGATGCGTCAAACCTATCGGCAATTTTGAACATTTAAAGTGTTGCTTCAGTCGTTCTATTATTATTGTCTTTCATCACACAACACCGTACTTCAACACCAGTTCATGCAGTACATCATCTTATAGGCCATGGTGCATGGTTCGGCCTTGCATGAAGTATAGCAAATATCACTTATCAGAACATAGGTTTCACTTGCAAATTGCATCATTTGTGGTCTTGAAAGGGTTAAACGTAAATGGCTGTTTGTTTTATATTTTGTGTGTGAAAGAGTGAATTGTCATTGAATTGGTTACAATGATAGTTGACAAACTGCATAGTGCTTCTGGGTCCAGTTTTGAGCCAGTTTGAGATCGAACTAAATACCCTTCCGATTGAAGGCAAAACTGTTGATTTCATCATATCTTTTTATTTTAATCGGACAACAACAATTTATTGAAATTCTCCGTCATGATTCAAAACTGTGAATATTACAGAGCTAGGAAGAGACTAGGAGGATCTTCCAACCTTGGAGTAGAGGAATGCTTTATGGCATATAACCAAAGCTGCAACCGTACTCTTGCAACTACAGTTTGCTTTGTACTCAATGGACTTAAGATTAATAGGTCAAAGAAGCCATAAAGAGATCCAGACATAAGTAGGACTATTGACACAATTGTGAAGAGACTTCTCGTCCCATTGTAAATCTAATGCTTTTATTTGTGTTTCATGTTGGTAATGTTTAGACTGCGTTGATGTTGAGTACACGTTAAACTGTATTTTGTAATGTAGATTTTACTAGTTTTACTCATAAAAACAGAGGACCAACTAGAAATAACATAACCTAAAACAGCAACACCATGAACCACTTCTTTCAATACAGACCCTAGTAACAATAAAGTCAATTAATTGTCTCAATGAACTACTTCAGAGAATCCATTGGTAAACAAATCTCGCATGCTGTTAAATAATGTTGTTCGCGAACTCTGACCACTTTCCTGTGATAAGGATATCGAAATAGACCGCTTCCGCATGATAGTGTGAATAGCAACGCGCATGAACATACTTGGATGAGTGTGAGTGTGTACACATAGTGAGTGTGTAAGTATGCGTGGATGGCTATCAAAGTAAACAATGGATACTTACGTTTAAACGCCAGAAACCGCGTACTACAAGGCTGTTACTAACAGAGGATAATGAAAAGACATGTGATTATTTTCTAAGTAGTCTGTTGAAACTGCAGTTCATCACTGTCTTTGAAATGATGCTTTATGTGTTGAGAGAGTGTATTTTATGTTTGTCTTTGTGTTTTGTAAATGTGTTGTTGTATGTGTTTGTAAGTGTGTTGAGTGGATGGAGTATGTGTTGGTGTGTTGAGTGGATGGAGTATGTGTTGGTGTGTTGAGTGGATGGAGTATGTGTTGGTGTGTTGAGTGGATGGAGTATGTGTTGGAAAGTGTGTTGAGTGGATGGAGTATGTGTTGGTGTGTTGAGTGGATGGAGTATGTGTTGGTGTGTTGAGTGGATGGAGTATGTGTTGGTGTGTTGAGTGGATGGAGTATGTGTTGGTGTGTTGAGTGGATGGAGTATGTGTTGGAAAGTGTGTTGAGTGGATGGAGTATGTGTTGGTGTGTTGAGTGGATGGAGTATGTGTGGGTTGTGTTGAGTGGATGGAGTATGTGTTGGTAAGTGAGTTGAGTGAATGGAGTATGTGTTGGTAACTGAGTTGAGTGGATGGAGTATGTGTTGGTAACTGAGTTGAGTGAATGAAGTATGTGTTAGTAACTGTGCTGAGTGGATGGAGTATGTGTTAGTAACTGTGTTGAGTGAATGGAGTATGTGTTGGTAAGTATGTTGAGTGGATGGAGTATGTGTTGGTAACTGTGTTGAGTGAATGGAGAATTTGTTGGTAAGTGTGTTGAGTGGATGGAGTATGTGTTGGTAACTGTGTTGAGTGGATGGAGTATGTGTTGGTAACTGTGTTGAGTGGATGGTGTATGTGTTGGTAACTGTGTTGAGTGGATGGAGTATTTGTTGGTAAGTGTGTTGAGTGGATGGATTATGTGTTGGTAAGTGAGTTGAGTGAATGGAGTATGTGTTGAGTGGATGGAGTATGTGTTGGTAACTGT